CGGGCTGCTCGTGCCCTATCGTCCAGCCCTCGAGTTGTGTCTCACGGTGAACCCTGAGCGTGCCAGTGCCAGGCTGCTTAGTCTGAGGGACTCCAGCATTTCCCTTCACAGCTTCAGCAGGTGGCCGAACTTCCCCTTTGGCTCTGGAGCTGTGTTTTCTCCAGTAACCAGTTCCCAGGGAATGATGTATTTTCTTGCCTGGCCTTCCATGCCCATTATTTGTTAGCTCAGACTGATGGTTCCTGCTGTTTTATCCCTAAAGCACAGTCGTGCAGCTTTCCACGTGAGCTGTGCTCCTTTCTATCTCACCATTTGCCACCTGTGGGTTTGTTTTTCTCAGCTCCTGGTGCTCAGCAGTTCTGCTTTCTCCTCTCTACCCGTGCCGGTGGTCTGGGCATAAACCTTGCTACGGCCGACACAGTCATTATTTATGATTCTGACTGGAATCCCCACAATGACATCCAGGTTTCTGACTTTTCCTTTTTCTTCCCGTGTAGTAAGTACCCTTCTGGCTCTGCCCTCTGTTTGCACACCCCACACATTGAAGTCTGTCTCTTCTCTCAAAAGCTTCTGACCCTTTCTGCTGCATTTAAGTGGTGCATTTCTGCTCAGCAGCCCCCTTCTCGCATCTGCTGTCCTTGCTCTGGCTTGGCTGTGGCACAGGAGAGACCTTGCACATAAGACCCGCTCTCTTCCATGGTCTTCTCACTTTCTCCTGATGCTTGTTCACAACTGGGTGCCCCCTCCTCTTTTGAGGAGCTTCCATTTGCATTTCCAAAAGCCCATACCCTAGTGAAGGACTGACTGCCCAAGGGAGACAGCAATTGGAGCAGGCAAGCAGCCAATGCCTCTGGAAGTAATGGAAAGGTGAAGAGAAACAGGTATCCCTCCCATGCTCCTTTGCTGGGAGAAGGTCCTCTTCAAAGCCACATCCACTGTGCCAGTGTTTCCTTTCCCCAAGTCTTAGGCATGGGAATGTGCTGGTGCACAGTGGCAAAGGAGCAGTATGGGGGTTCCTATGAGGACCGTGTCCTTGCTGCCCACCCTCAGACCCTTCTGTCAGGGCCAGTGCCTTTGAGTTGGCTCTGAGGAGCCACTTTCACTCTCTGCCCTGCCACAGCCTTAATGCTGAGTTCAGCCTTGCCCCCAAGGTGCCTTTGTGCAGCTGGAGAGGTGAGGAACTTGGTCCCCTCAGCTGGAGCAGCGTGCTGCTGCCCCGGCCAACTTTGTTCTCCGCGCGCAGGCGTTCAGCAGAGCTCACCGCATCGGGCAGAACAAGAAGGTGATGATCTACCGCTTTGTGACCAGAGCCTCTGTGGAGGAGCGCATCACCCAGGTGGCCAAAAGGAAGATGATGCTCACCCACCTGGTGGTCCGCCCGGGGCTCGGCTCCAAGTCAGGCTCCATGACCAAGCAGGAGCTGGATGACATCCTCAAGTTTGGGACAGAAGAGCTCTTCAAGGATGATGTGGAAGGTGGGGTCGGGAAGGTGCTGGGGATGCTCTGCGCAAGCTCTGTCCGAGCTGCTGGGCTCGTTCTCTTCTTGCACCCACAGGCATGGTGTCGCAGGGACAGCGGATCGCCGTGCCGGACGCTGTCACCCCTTTCTCTGACACACTGTCAACCAAAGGGGGTACGGTGACTCCCAGCATGAAAAAAAAGCATGGTGGCACCCCTCCAGGTTTGTACTCCCACTTTTTGGGGTGACCTGTGCCCTTCCCTGGCCCTGCACCCAGCCTAAGCTTGCTTGGCTCTGGGAGTGTGTGATTTGTGCTTCCATTCCCCTTGCTTTTTGCTCTGTAGGTGACAATAAGGACGTGGATGACAGCAGCGTCATCCACTACGACGACGCTGCCATCTCGAAGCTTCTGGACCGAAACCAGGATGCGACTGATGACACGGAGCTGCAGAACATGAATGAGTATCTCAGCTCCTTTAAAGTGGCCCAGTATGTTGTGAGAGAAGAGGACGGTGTGGTAATGTGACCAGTATCATGTCTTACAATCGCACCTCTTTGTACATCCCTCAGTGTTTCTTTTGCTCCCTTTGCTCCCTGGTGTTTCGGTGTGGGGCAGGACTCCTGGGCTCTCTCTCTGCGGCTGTTCCTGGTGGTTCCAGACTCGGGGTCCCAGGGCCAGTGGGACCGGCCGCAGGCAGAGGAAGCACTGTTGTCTTCGTCCTGTGCCACCCACAGCACAGGCCAGGCTCTGTCCCTCGTTTCCATCAGAGCATCCCTAGGTGCCATCTGTCCTTCTGAAGGCCTTTCCCCAGCAGGCTGGTGGTGCTTGAGTACCACGCTGCTGCCATTTGTTCTCCCAGCAGCTGACTGACTTATGTCCTCCATCCATGGAGGGAGCCGGTCACAGGCTGTTGTTCTGGGGGTCTTTGCAGATCTGTAGCTTTTCCCTCGATGTGAGCATGGGCACTGCAGGGTGGGCTGGATGACAGTGTTGGGAGGAGCTCTTGCTGGGTGGGAGGTTGTCTTGGCCCTTTGACAGACTTGCACTGAGGTCAGTACATTTGGGCAAAGATCCAGGAGCCAAATGCCAGCCAGTGGCTTGGTGCCCTCCCTCTTTCCTTTCCGCCCTCTTTCCTTCCCTCGTCCTCTCCCTGGAATGCTGTAGGAGGATGTGCAGCGGGGTGATGCGGCCACATCTGGGGCTGCCTGATCTTGAGCATCTTGTCTCTTGCTTTGCAGGAGGAGGTGGAACGTGAGATCATCAAGCAAGAGGAGAATGTGGACCCGGACTACTGGGAGAAGCTGCTGCGGCACCACTATGAGCAGCAGCAGGAAGATCTGGCCAGGAACTTGGGGAAAGGGAAGAGAATCCGAAAGCAGGTCAACTACAATGATGCCTCACAGGAGGACCAAGGTACGGCTCGGTTCCGGTGGGGCTCGGGGGGGGAGCAGCCCCCGTGGGCTCCTCTGAGGAGCTGCACAAGCAGCTTCCCGAGGGGCACGCAGGCTGAGCCGTCGCTCGGCGTTTCTCCGCAGTTTGGTAGCTGCGTGGCTCTCTATTTCCCAGATGGCTAAACTTTCCAGGATATAAATTCTGCAGAGACTTTTTCTTTTTTAATTTTTTGGTCTGTAAACTCTTGTTTTACCTGGAAGAATTTAGGAAAAACATGTCTGTGGGCAAAATATTCCAAACTGGTTTTTTTTGTATAGGAGAATACTAGTTTTTGAGAATCTGAGAATGGAATTTCCTCCTTGTTATGTCCTCTCCTGCTGCCTGGCAATGGATGCTGGTCACAGCTGTGGACAGGCTCTTGCCTGTCCTGTGTGTCCCTCCTGGACAGGGCCCCTCTGCTCGGGTCCTCTGCTAATCTGGGCTTGCTTGCAATCTGCAGAGTGGCAGGATGAGCTCTCTGACAACCAGTCGGAGTACTCCATTGGCTCCGAGGACGAGGACGAAGACTTTGAGGAGAGGCCAGAAGGTCAGAGTGAGTTAATGCTTTTGGTACTCCACGGGATTTTTACTCTGCGGGCAGCCCCTGACACTCAGGTGCAGCAGAAGGCTCTGGGCTGGAGGGGCTGGTGAGCTCCAGGGCCTCCATTCAGGGGCAGGTGACCCCACTGGCATGCCAGGTGAGGAGATTCCCAGGGCTGGGCAGGCAGCCAGCTGCTTCCTTCACTGGCTGCGGCAGGACCTTGGTCTGGTCCTTGTGGATGGATGGGGAGCGCAGGAGAACAGGCATGGCACCCCGATGCCTGGTAAGGGCAGAAGTGTGCCCCGGCTCGGGATGGCAGCAAGATGGGTGGAAGAGCCCCTGCAGCCTGAGCTGCTGCTCTGCTGGGTTCAGCCTGGCTCTGCTGGGGCACGTGAACACTTCGGCCATGCTTCCTCGCTGCCTGGGCCCGTCCATCACGGAGGCTGCTTGGCTCTAGGTGGCAGAAGACAATCCCGGAGACAGCTGAAGAGTGACCGGGACAAGCCTCTCCCTCCTTTGCTGGCAAGAGTTGGGGGAAATATCGAGGTGAGCATCAGCCTCAGCCGGAGCACGACCGATGCGGCTGTGCCAGGGCTGCCCGGGGCCCGTGGGCTGGGCTGCCCCATGCCGAGTGGCCCGCGCCACGGGCCAAGCAGGCGTGCAGGAGCCACGACAGCAGCTCCCTGCTCCCTCCAGGTACTCGGCTTCAACGCCCGGCAGCGCAAGGCCTTCCTGAACGCCATCATGCGCTGGGGGATGCCGCCCCAGGACGCCTTCAACTCCCACTGGCTGGTCCGGGACCTGCGAGGGAAGAGCGAGAAGGAGTTCAGGTGCGGGGCGAGGCTTGTCCCGGGCTCTGGGTGATGGCAGTGGGCGCTTGGCTTGTGTGCTTGTGTGCTGGCCTCGCTGTTGTCTTGCCCTGTCACCCGCTCTGCTGTGCTCCCCAGAGCAAGTAGAGGCTTTGCTGTGACAGCTGACTGAGCAGCATTAGCCCCAGTGCCCCCACACCCCCACCAAGGTTTCCTTTCTGGGAGGCGAGGCCTGCTTGGTCTGAGGGGGCTCCCCTGCTTTGTTGTCCGTCAGGACAGGCTAAATCTTAGCCTGGGGGTGCGACTCTGCCCTTGCCCGCGGGTGGATGCGGGCAGGGTCTGCTTGGCTCTGCAGGGAGCTGTGGGCCACGCTGGGCTCAGGCCTGGCTCTCCCTCCTTCTGCAGGGCCTATGTCTCACTCTTCATGAGGCATCTGTGTGAACCTGGGGCGGATGGTGCCGAGACCTTTGCGGACGGCGTTCCCCGGGAAGGGCTCTCGCGCCAGCACGTGCTGACTCGCATCGGAGTCATGTCACTAGTAAGGAAGAAGGTGGGTGAGTAAAACTTCAGATGTGCTGTTTCAGGTATGTTCTGGAGACCTGTGGGTTTCATTGGGTGCTGAAGCCAGCAGGCACAGTGCACATCCCTTTTTCATAGAGTTGTAGAAGCACAGGATGGTTTGGGTGGGAAGGGACCTTTAAAGCTCATTGAGTCCAACCTCCCTGCAGGGAGCAGGGACATCCTCAACTAGAGCAGGTTGCTCAGAGCCCTGGCCAATCTGACCTGGAATGGTTCCAGGGATGGGGCAGCGACCACCTCTCTGGGCAGCCTGGGACCCGGTCTCTCCACAGTCATTGTAAAAAATGTCTTCCTTCTCTCTAGTCTGAATCTCCCTCTTTTAGTTTAAAACCATAACTCCTTGTCCTGTCACAACAGGCCCTCCTTAAAAGTCTGTCCCCAGCTTTCTCATGGGCCCCTATTTTGTCATAAATGTATAGGTGACAATAACACAAACTGCCATTCAATCCCTGATGCTTCTTTCCCTGGATGTAACATAGGATGAGCAGTTATTTAATAGTCTGGTGGGCAAAAAAGAGAAGTCATGCTGGAGGTTGCTGTGTCTGAGGTGTAGTGGTGAATGTCCCTGGTGGGGGGGATATGGGAATCCTGCCCTGGCTAGACTCTGTGGTGAAGCAGCCAGAACATGCCGGCTCTGCAGCACCAGGCTGGAAATGCCTCTGCTGTGTCTGACTTGCTGGTGTCCAGGTCCAGGAGTTTGAGCACGTCAATGGGAAGTACAGCACCCCAGATCTGATCCTCGAGTGCCCGGAGAGCAAGAAGTGCAGCGAGATGGTGTCCTCAGATCCCAACACGCCTGTCCCGGCCAGCCCAGCACACATGCAGACGGGACCTGTGGCCCTGGCAGGTGGGTGTGCCCCCAGGCTTCCCGGAGACGGTGGCCTCGCTCTGGCTTGGGCAGGGCATTGGGCCAGGACAGTAGGAGATCTTGCAGGTGTCTGCCTGCCCTGGCAGTGTGTGTGGCTCGCCGGGGCCCTGTTCAGTAGCTTCCTTGCTTTGCTGTTGCTACAGACAAAACAGAAACGCAGCTTGGATTCCAGGAGGAGAAAGACCAAGTGGAGCAAAAGTCCAGGAAGGTGTCTGACAGCCAGGTAGGGTGGCTTCTTTCAGCAGCTCCTCTGGGAGGCCTAGCCAAGGTCTGTTCAGAAATGTGGAGTGCTCCCTGGGGAAGGGGTGGGGCTGGGCTGATCTGGTGTGGGTGCTTGACGTTAAGGTGCCTGCCAGTGCCGAGAGGTTGGAGAGCGAAGAGCACGCAGAAAGCTGTGACAGCAAGGAGAAACTAAGAGAAGAAAAGCAGGAGGAGAGTGAAAAGACTGAGCCTTCTCCTGAGCCCCTGGTGAAAGGTGGGTCTCTGTGGCTCAGATGAATGTGATCCCCACCCACACGTGGGCTCCCCTCTCAGCTCTCGTTGGGGTGTCTGTGGGGCTGTGGCACCCAGCGATGGCATCAGTTCGCATTGGAGAAGTTCTGCAGCTGAAGTTGTGTAGACCTGACCAGCTTTGGACACTGGTGCTCCTGCTGGGTGGGCCTTCTTTCTGATGGGAGGCTCCAGCACTTGCACCTTACTTGGATCTTACTTCTCCATATTGCTGTGGGAATGCTGCAAAGTCTTGCAGAAAGTCCTGAAAACCAACAGTTCCAGGTTGGAAATTATCAGAAATACTCATTTTTGGGGGCATTTTCTATTCCTAGCAAGATGTTCCTCCAGATATCTCAAGAAAGAGGGAAAGCTAAATAAGTTTTATTGATAAAATGCAGACTGTTTTGTTGGAAGTTTTTCAAACACCTTGAATGTATAAACAATATAGTCACTTCACCCTAAAAGGGAAAGTCTGTCCAGATGATATGTTCTTGTCCCCTGAAGTGTGTTTTTCTGGTCAAACTCTTCTCTTGTACTATTCTGTTCTGCAGATGAGGGGCTTCCAGAGAAGGAGAAGCCTTTGGAGAAGCTGGAGTTGAACAGCAGCCCCCTGAAAGGGGAGGACAGAGAAGCCAAACCAGGTGAGGTGTGAAGAGATTTTGGGGTGAGAAGTGGTGTGAAGGGTCTCCAATGCAAGATGGGTGCCTGGCACTGAGGTAAGGGAGCGTGTCACAGGGTAGCAGCGAGGAGAGCCAGCAGCACCTGCGGCAGGC